TCAGAATGCGAATCCCATTAGGCCCGTGGATATCCACTGGGAATTTCCAGTTTAGAGAAAGAAACTGAATCTCAGCATCCCGTTACTATGGACCGACTAAAATAATCGACTAGGGCAGTCGAGAACTTCAAATCAAGAGTAAGTTGGTTCCAGTTATTTCAATTAATACCGTCGCCAGCAACGAACTTTTCAGCTATCATGTCCGAGGCACCGAAAATTCATTTTTCTTCCCGAATCGAAAGTACCATCTATGGCTACCGGTGCTCTATTCGGTTGTTTGCTAAGGCGAATTTCTAAACCCCTGAATTCTCCGAATCGGGCAACTGTTGTTGTTGGTGTGTTGTTACATCGAGTCGGACGAACTGAGGATTCAGATCTCAGTGATATGACAGCGGACGAGTTGGCATAGTTTACCGTTTTGTCTGTTGTCATCAGTTACATTCCGCTGTTTTCATGAGACTACGTCTAACGTCCTGATCTAATGAATGAAGCTGTTTCCCTGTATGTTTTGTTTTGTTTTCGCTGTGAAGTTGTCATGGAACTCGACGAAAACTACGGTCACATTATAATCTCGTGGACATTCTATTTGGCTTCGATCGATGCTGACGCCAGTTGAACTCTAATAAGTGTGCACCAAGTATGACTATCGTGTGTGATGGGCTTCCGCTGCATCCACATAGCCACTATGATTTAGCCGTCATGTTTTGGCAAAATCGTGCGTCCGCATGTATTCTTATCTATGTATGAGCAATGTTAACGTGTCCATGAAACCATGTTTGCGTTGCACCACTTAAGGTGCTTCCTTTTTGCTCCGTCGTTGAGTGGACTTTCAGTGCTCACGTGTATCACTTCCTGCACCGTAACGAAAACAAACATAAGATGAGCCGAATTACTGAATCACGAGTGATGTCACGTCCATACCGTTTTCGGTTCCAGAACTTCAATGTCGGGCAGACATACTGAACTTCAAGAACTGTATTCAACAAGACAATTTTACATGACCGCTTCGAAGAAATCGTGCATATCTCAAGATCTCACCTCTGTCATTGTTTCCATTTATATGATGTGCAGAGGATATACACTGGTTCTAGATCCCACAGTCTCATTCATCCATGGTGTTAAAAATGTAGGTGAAACTACCTCCAGGTTTCCACTGAAAGCTCCTGAATCAAACTAACAAGAAATGCCGGACATCTCAAGACCGTACTCAATGATGGCATGGGTGTCCGCCTCAATGTTCGGCTTTATTATTCGTCATCTCCCCACCCACAGATCACACCATCGGTGCTGCTCCCTTGTGGTTGCTACAATGACTCCCGGGCCAACCGCACTATATATATATATATATATATATATATATATGATGTGCAGTAACCTATCTCGGCCCAGACACACTCCTTTCAAGGGATCACTTCTACGCCCCACGAGCTTTAATCCTGGATTGATGAGTGAATTCTCCTCCCCTTCAAAGTGGACTATTCCTACTGTTATCCAACCACTTTTCCTTCAGAAATCTGCCCGTGCGAACACAGTTTGGCTGTGGTGAACTGGAGTGTACAAAAAAAACAGACTTAGCCCTACTAAGTATCTTCATTTCTTAATGAACTTGACAATTATACTCCCCGTACAAATGGCTAGTCCCATTACTCACATGCAATACAACAAGCTTTGCAATGTTCCATAGAACATCATTCCAACGGTACACTTCGTGTAGTCAACGCTATAAACATTCCGACGTATTGTCAGCTCAGTCGGTCGCTTAAAACGCATTTGTGGGACTGAATTGCTAGATTGCTAGAGGTCACCTCATGGGGAATTGGAGGTGCTTGTCTCTCAAAGATGGAACGGAAATTGGCTCAGTCGAAAAGGCTAAGTTAATTCGGAGCTGTTGATAACTACCAATGTTAGGGTCAGAACGTCAGTGAAAAATGACGAGACTGCAGTCATTTTCACACTGTTTCCCGAGGGTGCATTTGTAGATCACATACCTCTCGTTTCTCGCAATCCAGAGTCGCACCGGTAAAAGTATAAGGGATTATTCTACCTCCGTATACCTCTTAAGTCTAGTAACATCATACAAGTCCGCTTTGTTGTATTAAAGTTCATTGCGCGTGCTTGGCCATGCTCTGCTTGAATCAGGAACTCCCCTTACAAGGCGGCATTTTTCAGATAAATAAAAATCCGTGGTTATGTTAGTTCTGATGATTGTTGGCACCTTCCGAGATTGTTTACAGATGTGAACTAGTTTTATAGCTGGAACGCGGAGCGTTCAGCTCAGATCGAGAGCTCATTTGCAAAAAGGCACACTGAGTGCTTATAGCCGGAAAAATACATACTGCTCTTAATCGCTTTCTCATACACATAACCATCCCAGATATATTGACTTGTTATTAGTACTAGGAAAATTATCCAAACGCCGCCGATCCGATTTGCCCGAAGCAAGTTTTTTTCGTGACAGCAATCACGTACAAGGGTCACATTCAGTTAGGTAACACAAAGGGTGCTTTCTCACCTGCAGTTCGAGTGTATATTGTAGATAATTTGAAACGACCAGTTAAGGTGAGAAAAGATATGACTACGAATAGAAACTAACGTCAGCTTGATCCTAGTGCATCAATGTATGAGAGTTTCCGGCAAATTTAGGTCCCCAGTGACTTTCCATGTTTTTTCCCCAATTGCGCAAAAACCATATTTCAGAGGAGGTGTAGCAGACAAAGATTGCATACCTACCATTCGGCTGTCACAGAAAGTGTCACTTTGATCAGGTTTCTCGGGCGGTATCTCTTATGGGGATAGCTGTAAATAGGTTTGGCCGATTGCTAGCTATACTCCTGAACTTTATGCCTCCTTCAGATATCCAAATTTGGAATGTCAATGTCATCCAGGTCAAATCTGGATCATTTCGACCCATTTTGTTCAACTTTCAGATGAGCGAAATGTGGCTAGGCATTTTCTGATTCTCATGGAAGCTTATGCTCGGTGTTTCAATTCACCGTCCCCGACTGAGCACACCTTTGTTGAAATGTCCCCGTCCCACTGCTGGACAAGCACACAGTGGCCCATTACTTCCTCTCAGGAAGAATTTGGCTTTTAGAACCATTAGCTCAATACATATATCAGCCTGAATATAATTTAAAAATTTAGAGCAACCTATCCACCGTTCAGGAAGTAATGGTAAATAAATGGATGGCACAGGAATATTGACGTTTCTCTTCTGTCAACTTGATTCGAAGCAATCAGGAAGGTAGTAGTTTTTTGGTACCATTTATGGCTCAACTGTTTTATTGCTTTGGCGGTGTTAGAAAACCAATCGTTCATACGCGTGACCATTTCAAGTCCATAACCTTAGGAATTCACTGATGATTTGTAACGTGTGAAGTTTGACAGTTAGAAAGCTAGACCAATCGGGACATTACATGTTTTCACCGACTTTATGTGAAACAACTGACTACTCTGGTGAATCGATTTTGCTGAGTAGTGTTGACCTTCCTTCTCGACAAAGCCGCTGAAAACTTCGTTCCTTCCATGCACAGAAAATGCTGACTTTAAACTATCCGATTCGCGATGGGCGAGCGTCTTTTCGGTCCGAGCGAACGTTTTCATGATGTAGTAGAAAAACGCTTGGGCGAGAGAATGTCAGCATTGAGATTCCGTAAATGATTCGTGGATGAGATCTATTGTAGATACGAACAAGGGACGTTTAATGGAGTTTGCTCTAAGATTACGTACGGTTCATCCCAATCTTTCCGTGACCTCGGAGGATGATACCCACAGTTGTGCACCATTCTGGGACGTTTCGGTCACGCCCAGAGTGACGGGTCGACTAGACGCAGTATTTATGCGAAACCCTGTGATCTGGACTTCACACGCATTTACTGAAGTACAAGCGAAACGCCGTGCTAACCTTACTTAGTTGAGCGTATAGCAACTTCCCTCGGGCTCTATTTGTCATGAACTCAAACTATTAGCCGAAACCTTGGGGGAGAAGGGATACTCACTGAGGTTCCTCAAACAGCACGAAGTGAGAGCCTAAGCAGCTGGTTATGAGACTAGCGACCCGAACTATCATTTACAATCCATAACATTCTAAAGAAATGTAACACAACAGGACTGCGAGTGATTAGCCATATCTGAGGGTTGGCATCACGTCCTTCCAGGAGGTAGAGACCGATTGACGCCAATCTACATTGTATATCAGTTCAAATGTAAATGAGGAGAAACCTACGTTGGGAGTACTGATGAATGGCTCATCTCCAAACCGAATGGATACATTCCGGTCTGGATGAACAGAACCATATTTCAAGACCGAACCTGGTACCCGCTACTGACGGCAGTTGCCGATATCATCAGTCAGCTTTAAGTATCTTATCATACTATACAGAGCCGCGCGTATTCACGTTTGCGGAGGCGATCACCTGTCCCTAAATTTCGGGCAATTTATACTCTCTCATATCTAGAGAGACGGATGAAATTTCCAGAGCGATCAAACCTAGCGTTCGTCGGAGTGTTTCTGGAAGTCAGTCTAAGTGCAAAGCGCTTCCACTGGAGCTACCTTTAATATTCTTCTTACCTAATCTCACACGAAGAGTTCCTCGCTCGTGGCTACCAAGCAACTTGTGGCGGGGATGGTACCTCTTAGACGGAGGTGATTTGAAGTATATGCTGGTATCGGGCCGTGTAGAAACTCGCTTTTCAACTTCCTTGTCACCTTCGGCATTTTCCACCATCTATTCTCTCTTATATACCTCCTAGATGGAGGTGATTTGAAGTATATGCTGGTGTCGGGCGGTGTAGAAACTCGCTTTTCAACATCCTTGTCACCTCCGGCATTTTCCACCATCTATTCTCTCTTATTTGTCTGTAAGGCAGTTAACATACGTTTTCGTCTTCACAAAGGACGGCCCCACTATCGTCTGAAATGTGTCCAATACTATCTCCTGGCACGCTGTTGGGATTCATGATTTCTTATCCATACCGGAACCCCTGGTTTCTTTTTGCAGTATCCAATGATGCAGACCTTCATCGCTACAAAGGCCGGACTGTGATGAATGAGGCCGAGCGTTATGAAGCTGTCAGGCACTGCCGCTACGTCGACGAAGTGTTACCGGACGCACCGTGGGCAGTCACACCGGGCTTTCTACGCAAACATAAGGTAAGTCACCCGCCTCCATAAGACTAGCTTCGAAGATCATTTAAGCTTCTATTGACTATGTATGTGTGAAGGCGTGTGGGGCAGTCTGTTGTGAAGGCTAACGCGCCCCAGTCTGCGCGTACCGAATAAACTGTATGGACTTTTTGTTATCTGGTTTTGTTTCAATAAATTCTCAGGACTTGTGCATGGCTACTAGATTTGTAGAATTTCCATTAACTTCACTTCCATCTGAATAGTCCTCCCTCTGTCCTGATGAGTTCACACCAAAGAGGGGGACAGTGGACTTGGGTTTCGATTTCGTTAGAGCTCATGAGTAGTGCAAATCAGTCACACCGCTCAAGCTTGAATACTTTGGCCTGTTCAGACGTGATAATTCAGGTGTACCTGGCCTGTTAGATGCGTGGGGTTCAGCTCCTGGCACAAATCCTGATGAGATTTACAGAACCGAATGGAGCAAACGTCTAGCTAGCTTAAAGTGGAGCAATCTATCTATTGGAACTGTTTTTATCGTTTGAAAAATAATTTTTCTCGTTATTTGTCCGTACGTCAGTCTATCACAGTGTTCATCAACTCTCTCATTGGTGACTTGGGAAATTCGACACAAATCGTGTATTGTTGAACTGCTCCTTCCCCCACATGCAAGACAACCGATTCAACAATGCACAACCACCTACAGCGATCATCATCAGTGCACTCACTCGCTTAAATCCGCCCATGTTTTTTTGGTTCGCTTGTGTCAGTCCACCACATGACTGTTGTGTAACATAACACCACCTAGGGGCGATAGAGCGCCATACACACCAAAGCAAGTGCACTGGGTAGAAACTTGTTAACTATTGAAATGATTTCTAGGTTTCATCTCAGTTTACCCACCAAAATATGGCTACTCAAGAAACTTCATAAGGAGATGCTTACGAAATCAGCACCAGACTACTTTGGCAACAAAACCAGAACAGCGAATGACTACGCTTCCGTATATCAAAGACGTCGCGGAAATGACTGCACATTCAAGACAACGTGAAATGAAAGTCGCCTTCAAGCCTGCAAACACATTGAGCAAGACCCTCCCGAAACCAAAAGGTAGACTGAATTTGGTGAAGAAGACGACGTGATCTATAAACTTCAATATAACGATTGAGACAAACAGTACATCGGTAAGACTGGGAGAAAACTTACCACCATAATGCACAATCACAAGCTTGCCAGCAGAATACCAATGTCACTTGCTTCAATTCACGAAGACAGGGAAGGTCATCAGTTCTATTGAAATAATGTTAAAATACTTGCTGGCGCAACTCAGACTTCGAGCTGACCAGCCAATTTACGCGAAAGCCACCTCGTGACCAACCACTTGCTTTAGAGGTATTAGACACTGTTTAGAAACTATACAAGCACAATCAGAATGGAGGAAATTCGGCTACTCAACTCCGCACTGACGATGTCACCCCGATTAGTGATGAAACGTTTGGGAGGAAATCCAGCTACTCAACTCCGCACTGACGATGTCAGCCCGATTGGTGATGAAACGTTTGAAATCCAACTTTCAAGCTCGGCGATCAAACCAACTAATCGTAGAAGTGTTTTTGTGGGCTATGATTGACATAATTTCAGTAACAAAGTTGGTACTGACCTTTTTGTTCGCAGGACTACGTGATGCTGGGCAGGCAATACCATAAAATGGAACGAACCGAGCCCACCTGTTTTTCACCTGAATGATATTACGGTGATGAATTTTACTAGTCCTCGAGTTCGAAGTCCACCTGTAGTCTATGGGGCGGTGGCTTTTGTGCACTACAGTTCTCGTAGTTTTCCCTTTTTACTAGATTAAACTAATTTCACCATGATCACCAAGACATCTGCGTTGATTTTCCAGTATCAGTAACAAACAGTTGGGCAGGGTATGAGGAAGATTGCTGCTTGTTGTGTAGAGGAAATTAACTTCATCTCCCATCAACTTTCCTTCTTACACAGAGGAATTTTTCGCCCTCTAAGTCTTTTGGGGTTTATAGAAGATACCGTATGTCGATCTGCAGTGATTATAAACTGGCTAGGTAACCTTCTTGCATGAATTAGCGGATGAATTGGCTCATTTGCTGGGTTGTTTTTTTCGTTCATTGAATAAATGCTACTGGGTAACGTACGATCTGTTAATTTATATAGAAAAAATCAGGAAACACTTTTGACCCACGGAATACATGCATTTGAGAAGCCTAACAAGGAAATTTGTGGGGATGTTGCTTGCATGCTGCGGTTTTAAATTGGCCCGGTCTGGACAGACCATATTTGTGTGGACAGCGTTTCCTTGGTCTGTTTCAACCACAGTTCGATATTTCGTTTTTCAGATTGATTTTGTTGCCCACGACGATATTCCCTACGCGTCGGCTGATTCAAAAGATATCTACAAGCCTATCAAAGACGCAGGCATGTGAGTTGTTTATATGGTACTTGTTTGCTTCAAGTAATCTGCAGACTAGCTTATTTTCTTCCCTCAGGTATTCGTGAAGCCAACTGTGGTGATTCATGAGTTTCTTCTGTCAGTTCACACAAGATCGCCGAATCTGCGACTGCAGTTGCTAGCATGTTTTAGCTGCATATGTCGTAATGAGCTACTTGCATGGATCATAATACCCTCATGGAGGTCATCGATGAGCGATAACAGCGAAGGTCAGGGCTTAATCTAAACCGAGAGCGATCGAATTTGTCTTTTCTTCACTGTTCTGTTCCATTTCAACAGAAGCCTCATTTCTACACCCCCGACGAATGCAATGGTGATCTTTTCGGTATCATTTTCAAATTAAACTTCGGTTCACAAGGTCCCCTGAGAAAGACATTTTCGGGGAGAGGCCAAAACAAGCATTTTCAACCAGATTCCTTTATGAGTCATTATCTTCGAGAAGAACACTCTTTCCTAGTGTCCATGTTTTCGTTCTCCGAGGAGTGATTTTAGCTATCAAGGAATTTATGTAATTTATATAGAAACGGAGAATATTTTTCAGAGGTTGTGATATTTTTGAGCAACGTCAGTTATAGTGTACAATTTTTTTATATCAGGGCTTCCAAATAATCCGAAACCTGGTTAAATCCACTGCACGATGGCCGCATTTCAAACCGAAGACGCTCCTTCTCACTGCGGTGAGCCACAGCAACCTATTTTTTCTTGTATTTCTGTTTTGTCGTTCGGGACGAGCAGCTGTTAGCTCTTATAGAGTTTTCCTTCACCATCTGTTGACTTGCTTGGACTATAAGTCAAAAGCTACCGGATCAAGGATGCAAGAAAGTAATCCCTCAGCTCAAGGTGATCCTTCATTGAGGTCCCTTCGATAACTACTACTTCCCTACCGAAGTTACTTCCGTACATTACTGTGGGATTTGGATTGAAGTCAATGCTTTTTAATAGACCATCAGTCCCCATGAAAGGCCATCTTATGTTTTCCTCGGCCACAGATTTGCCTCCTAACGTAGACCAGGCATGCCGAACTCATGCATTAGATTGTCATATATTTGACTATCGGGTACTCGTCTGACTAAAGACAGTACAGCCAGACTTGTTCCCGAACTACTTGGCACTGCTTTATTCGTTCCATTCTAGAAGGACCATGTTCAAGGATTGACGAAAATGGCCTCCCACGGGCGGACTAAAACTTTGTTAACACTGTCAAGGGGCCAACCACCAAGATTCTTTTTTGGGCGTTATTCCTGTAAAGCATTCAATGTAACGTCACTACCACACTAGAACAGCATCTTTCAGATGACAAAATGTAGCTTCACCTAGATGAACACTGCGCTAAGTTCTGGAATCGCTGATTGCTTTGTTCCCAGAGGTTCACAATCAACTGTTTCTTATTAATACAGCTTTCCGATTACAAGCGGAATACACACAAGAAGCAGCTTTCGGTTTGGCCCATGGAGATTCGGGCGTTCTCCTCCAGAGAAGCTGCCAGTACTGCTTGAGGGACTACCCTTCAACATAGTCCTGCTGTTACCTCAATAGGGACCAAACAGGTCACTTTTTATCTGCTTTCACACAATGCTCTCTCCAGAAAGGGATAAATGTCCTAAAAATTGATCTCTTCTGAAGTATGGCAGCCCGTGACAAAGAGACCAGACCATGTGTGCCTCCTTGACCCACTGAGCCATACTGTGGGGTGTCCGCGCAACACTCGAAGACTCATTTCAGGTTGGTCAGTAGCTGGAGTCCCGATAAGCACAATACCATGGTCCCACAGATTGAGGATTGGAACATATTTGGGGACTTATTCTTTAATAAGATAATGCACTAGCATTTATCACCAATGCCTAGCGACCATATTTCTGGTCAAAGGTTTTGGTTAAGGAACATAATAGTCCTCTTGTTCAGGTTTGGGTGCCCTGGTAATACAACCATGATTTATACATCGGTCTTCGCCGTGACATACGTGCGTCAGCCGGTACCGACAACCTCAGGCATCTTGAAATTAATCTTCGCACTTGGACACCCGGTTTCTTTGGCCGATTTCATTGTTTGTTCTCCGAAGCAAGTAGAATAACAGACTGCTATTGTTTGCGTTTTGGATTCGCTTGGAGTCGATGTATGCTGCGGATCTCAAACAGGAATTCATTGTCCATGCACCCTTCACTCCTCTCACTGTTGGATAAGCACATCTGGCAATCCAGAATCCGCCATGACAGGCTGCGCAAGGGCCAATGCGCGGACCGCTTACTGTTTTCATCACGTACCGAACTCAGAAATAACTGAAGTCATCTGGCTCGACAGTAGCCTTCAACAGCGTGCCAGCAACAGACCCCCAACTGATCACATCGCCATCGGTCAATAACGTACTCTCGTTCCTTTCGAGACACATATATTCTGATGATGCACCCATTGAGAGAAGCTTCCCTTTTCACTTTTCAGGGCTTCGTAAGAAACGGTCAACTGGCTTAGCAATTGAGAACTTCATAGATTCCTAAGTTAAACGAATTTATTAGAACTGTTCTCTGCTTCACTGTCGGACTTCAATTCACACTAAAGCTGGATCACCACATCTGCGCAAAAGGCGGATAGTTTGGCCTGTGACGCGACTCCACCAACTCAAACACTGGTGGCAAGTAGAACACTGACATTGCTTGTATCTCGGAGAAGTGTTCCCGGCGGTTTCGAACAATACTCAACTCGACGAATTACCAGATATCAAATGAAGCGTAACGAGTGCATCGAGGATGAAGCCTGGGGAAATGCGAGAGGCACCAAACGCCATAAATTCCCGAATATCATTTCGGTGGATCCAATCGGCCGGTCCCCGACAACCGCCTGTGAGCGAAACCGTCAAGAAGCAAATTTCGTGCAACAATCTTTTATGATGAAGATCACACGGTAAAAGGACCAAACACTGAATGATTCCCATGGCTATCCGTGGTCACTCAGCCAGTTTTTAAATTGCACTATTACCCTGGAAAATGAACCTGGAGCCGCCTAAGACCTCGCAGGCTTGTGTTTGAATGTCCTACCCAGGCACCACCGAGCTTCTGGTCCAGATGACCTCTTACTTGCTTTGTTTATGCATAGAGATGAAGTCCTCAATCATTGCGTGTCTGATTTATTTTCCTTCATTTGGCAAAAAAGACTATCCCAGACAACAAAAAGACGATTGTAATGTTTGATTGGTCGTAACAAGATCCTTGGCGTCACTTATCCTTCGTCACTTTATAGTGGCACGTAAAGCATTGACTCGAGAACAGCAAGTGAGATGCCAGTCTGATAGAAACTGCGTTGTCCAAATCTTCACACTTCGTTTGGTGCTAGAACACCGCCACACAGTCTTACTATCCCCGGATTTCCAAGACCCATTCGACTCAGTTGACTGGTGTGTTCTCCTGGGCACTCTTGCTCATTGAGAAATGCTCCAGGAATTTGTAAATGCGATTGCATGAGGAACTCCGCAAAAGGTTTTGTAAAAGAAGAGGTTTGCGAGAAAGATTTCCACTCTCGCCATTCTCACTAAATTTTGTGGTCGTCGAGATAATGAGACGAACGATGGAAGGTCTTCATAACACTGGTGGTCAAATAGCTGCCAAAGAAAACCTTGTAGATCTCTTCTATCTAGACGACATCGTTCCTGTCTTTGAAGAGGAAAAGATGGCATAGGTGATTCTGGACGAACTTTTTTCTCGGACGAATCTCGTGAGTCAGTATTAGTCGGCTCTAGAAGTGTCCCTAATACCTGCTGCTCATGCAGAGCAATCGGCTGCCGGATCTGCACAAGTAGCGATCCTGAAACGAACTCCGTAGACGACATGGTAACCGAGCTGCTGAGCGTTGCCGTTGATTGTTCACAACCGGGTTCTCAGTTTTCTCCAGAGGGACGATGCTCTCTTTGACATAGTGTGAGGGATGAAGCTTCTTTGGTGGTTTCAGACAGTATCGTTCATGCGTAATAAATAATCATAATAAAAAAATCATTCCAGTCGTCTTTTGAGGAGTTGAGATAGGTGTGGTAAGGCATGATAAAATTTTCGGATCTCGTCGCTCGACACCTCTAGATATGTCGAATGTACTAGTGATTAGAAACCTGCAGCTTTCTCTTCCTAGAGACCATGTTTCAGGACCTGACGGATAATTGTGCTGAGCACTCATTTCTTTTCCAAAAGGTGGAGTTCAGCTGTATGGCGGTTTGCCGAGCACTGTCTGTACGCCGTTGGATTTCTTCTCTAGCCTTTCCCTCTGTTAAGTTGTGCACCTCATTGTTGTACTTCATGGCAGCAACTCATGGCTTGGCCACTTCGGGACATCTTCAGGTATTTGATCACCAATGTCTTGGCAGTATAGCTGGAATCCGCTGGCACCAGCGATTTCGCGGTGAGGTGATCAGTTGACGTGTTTTTGGTGAAGCAGACGGTACTCCCCTAAAGGATGCACCCAGCACTTAAAGCGAATGTAGCTGGGCCATCTATTGTACATACTGAGGTGCAATCCGCCGAGATGAGCGGAAACCTGGAGGTGGAAAGAATGTGACATATGAGAAGGGACCGAGGGGGTTTTCGAAAATTTTTGGGTGCTATTAGTGTTGTTTGTCCTACAGGTCCACGTGACCCTCCCTGTGTTCGGCTCCAGACTGAAAAATATGGTGGCTATCCGATTTCAGCGGCGTTTTTTGCTGTCAGTTTCTATCCAGATTCTCTGACTTAGTTTTGGAGGTGCAGCCCCCTCATATATCTGCTGTGAGCTAGTCCTGGGTCACCTACCTTGTCTCATTGTTCCTTCCCTCCAGTATAAAGCTTTATTGAAATAATTAGACATGGTTTTGTGGCAGTAAAGCTAAGATTGACTCACGATTAATCAAATCAAACACAGAAATTCGATAGAGCGTGATGTTGTAGGCCGCACAAATGTGAAAAGACGCCACAAAGAGTGCGGAAACCACCTCTGTTTGGCCTGTGTACATTCCGTGTTCAGGAAAAAAAAGTTTTGGCGAAAATGTTGGCAGCATTGTCAATAAGACTGATTTCATGATAGTTATCATACACCGTTTTATCACCTTTTGGGGGGATTCGTGAACCCATGAGTGAACGAACTGATCAAGTTCACTCTCTCCTCTGGCAGACTTCGCACCCACAAAGTGTAAGTTCATGCTATTCGACATACAGTCGCTGAACACGCCTTTTAACCCAAGGAGGAGCACTCGACAAGTGAGGTCAGTCCACGAATCTTCAAGCTTCAAATTAGGTTCGCTAATTTGAGACACCTACGTTGGTCAAGGGCATACCTCTAAATCTCAAGGGACCTGTGTTTCAGACTACAGTACGGTGAAACAGCGTCTGCGAGCAGCCAAACTGAGGCATCTTCTTGTCTTCGATAATTAGACTTCGCACCAAGTGTAAGTTCATGCTATTCGACATACAGTCGCTGAACACGCCTTTTAACCCAAGGAGGAGCACTCGACAAGTGAGGTCAGTCCACGAATCTTCAAGCTTCAAATTAGGTTCGCTAATTTGAGACACCTACGTTGGTCAAGGGCATACCTCTAAATCTCAAGGGACCTGTGTTTCAGACTACAGTACGGTGAAACAGCGTCTGCGAGCAGCCAAACTGAGGCATCTTCTTGTCTTCGATAATTAGGAAGTTCGTGCAAGCTGCTACCTAGCAGTTCGCAATGAGACAATTGTTCTTGTGAGACGAATTTAGACCTATTGGTTGCCCAAGACTAGTACCGCTCTAATGAAATTAAATAGATTTGAGGTCGGATTACGTATAAGCCCTTCAAAACAGGTATCTCTGATGTAACAGTTTCACCTTGTTTGTTACAGTGATTTTCGCGGATGGTTTGTGGGGATTTGAAAGAAAGGGATATGGAGTCATAGCCCAGCTCGGTTCAAGATCTTGGGATAGTTTTCTACAATCTTCTGCAATTGTGGTGCATTCTTCCGCGTTCTGGCACACCGATTCTAGATAATTTGTATTGCATTCTGAAGCCAAGTCATCCTCTAACAAGGCAAAATACCTCTTTTTTCTGGCGGCTTTTTCGAGAATACCGCACTTTCATTGCCATGTATTGAAACTCTACATTATAGTGGAATACAGTTGGTTTCCTAGAGGATGAACTTTCAGAACCCTGTGCAATCAAAAAGTTGTCATACTACAACATTTCTACCCTATTTCTACCTCTGAACCTACGGCAACCTTGCGCATTGAATATTTACTCTTCCCAGCAAATCATCTCTAGTCAGTAGTTTTCGATAGTCCTAATTGACTCTTGGTTGAAGCATCAGAAACCAGTGTCACCCTTTGTCCGCGAGAAGCTGAATGTTTGCCTCTGCACACTTTTGCTCATTATCTTCGAGTTTTACAGTATCACTCTATGACCTGTGAAAGCCGGACACAATGAATCGTCTTTCTAAATGGTTCTTTCTGAGAGTTCGATACCTTTTCTTTGATGAGAGGACGTAGCTCCATGATACGCGAGACAAGACTCTTAAAACCTGAATCACACAGCACTTATGCTCTGTTGCAACTTTGAAGAAACCTGTCAAATTTGTTCCCGTTAGAGAGTTGGTCGTAGTGTGGAGGGAAGAGTGGCCTAAACTTCGATTGTCGAGCACAGCCACGCTGTCGTATAGGCCGTCGTTGGACAATATCATATTGCACAGCATAATCAAATACACTTGGGTTGATTTACTTTATTGTGCCTTCAAAGGCAGCACCGCATTGGGATACTTGCCAGCGTAATCCCCACTGCGCCTGGTTGGAGACAATCCAAGATAAGGCTACCAACCAATGTCAATGACGATTTGTTGCCAGTTTCTATCCAGATTGCCTGAATTAATATCTGGAGGTGTAGGCTAGCACCAAGTCTCTTCTTCGTCTACCTATATTCTTTTCTTCACAATAAGGCTTTCAAATAAATCATGGTTGTACAGCAGTGAAGCATCGGTGTTGAACACTGATGTCTTGCTGTCTATAGTGATTATAATGATAATGACTCGCTAGCGTTCTTTTATTAGGGTAGATTACATCGAATCGGAGAACCTAATTCGGAGTTGACATGAGCACTGATACAATGGGTTTGCGATCGATTTTTATCTTACCAGAACTACCGTGCGGTGTGAAGTCTCAAAGATCACATATAGATTGTTTCGTATGAACACTTCAAACATACTTTTCTCATATAACGTTAAGATGATATCGATCCGGAATAGTGTCTGTTTGAGCAACGCTGTAACTAGTTTACTTACGTGTCTATTCGGTTATTTGTTAACCTTTGACCATATCTACCTCGAATAGGCTGAGCTGACTGTTACTCATAGAGAACGGAGAGAGTTTACTTCAAAAAGTAGAAAACCGAATACGAACTAAGTGTACAACCGTTCGTAGTTTATCTTTGGTGCAATAATGGTGTGTCATTATAAATATATGAACCTCTTGTGCATGCAGTCACAACAATCATGTTATCTACGTGGGAAGCTGATCTGTACTACCTGTACTGATCTGTGTTGCCTTCGCCTTGTTCGCCACTCTTCAAACCAATCAACCAATTCCCTAATTACGCCACAAACTTGTGTGTAACCCCTTGAGGTGCCGTTGCTTGACCCTCCATGTGTACACGTAAATAGCTTCAAATATTATCCAGGATTTTCGGCATTCATTTTGATAAACTATAGACAACAGTATGTTTAGCTTACGCTTTCATGTTACTTTTATTCTGTATGCTTCTTTGGTGCGTAATCATTCTCAGGTTCTTGGCGACTCAGCGTACTGAGGGAATTTCCACAACTGATGTGATCGGTAGAATTGTACGTGATTACGATTTATATTTGCGAAGAAATCTCCGACGTGGTCTTTCGCGAAAGGACTTGAATATCAGTTTCATGAAGGCGAGTGTGTGCACTTTTTCCCAGTAAAACTGACCTAATCAGTATTCCTTGTTTTTTTCGTACTTGTGCTTAATCCTGTATTCCTAATTTGTTGTTCGGTCGATTGGTATGGTATCTTGTTTCTGACGTGTTGTTTCTTCATTGGACCGCAGTTCGTTCGTATCGTCTGCGGTGGGGTGAACTAGTGAAAACCTAGGCCATTGTATGTTGTGATTTGGAACCAGGCTGAGAAATTTGTGCTCTGAGAATAAGATTCCGTCAGCAGTTGAGAATGTGAGGTATAGCTCGCCCTTCAGGTGATGAGCATTGTCTATCTGTTCTCATACCGTCGTTAGATATGTCGAAGCAATGCTCAGTGGTCACGAATGAGGGTATTATTCGACCCCATTCTTCTACATCGTAGCCTACACTCAGTTTCAAATGACATCCATTCGGCGCCCATTGATATCAGTAAGTGGTGTGAGTGCCACATCACTAGATACCTTCTGAGGTGTTGGCAACGGGTGCTTGGTCCAAGTAGTAAAACCTAGTGTTCTGTTTGCGGTTATCACAGTGTCGTCCAGCACCGAGCTTCTGAATGTGGCAAGCAAATTTACCCTGTGACTGATACGTAGATTCCAGTTTACAGCGATTTGGACTGCATCTTTGTGACAGCAACTTGTCAATTTTTTTCTTTGGGACGACAAGACAGCGCTAGTGCGCTGCCGCGGCAGTCCTACTCGGCAGTTTGTTTTTGAAACACACCATTTCACTCCACTATGAATTAGGAATTCATGTGATATTGTTCCCGGTTCGCTCGCTGACGTGGGGCAAGCTGTAAAGTATACAGCAGCCAGTACAGGTTTCCGGTACCTCTGCATGTCTCACCCTAGGCCCAGAATGACGAGATTAAGATAGACAGGTGATTTTCACTAGATGGCGATACACTAGATATCTCTAGGTTTCTTCACACAAATGTTAGGACACTGGCCGTCAGTCGTAATCCTCGTGATTCTAGTGCATCCGTGACTCACGATTGATTTTGGTTTGTAGAACCTGTCCTTATTCCATTCCGTGCACCTTCTACGGGTTACATGGTGACTAAACAGGCTGATCGATGTGAAATCCAATTCTTTTTAATTATCTAGTCTGGTTCGCTCACTTTTCATTCTCTCCATGGGGTGCGTCATGATGTGCGTGGACTTGTGAATTCGTTTCTTTACGTTGGCCCCCTTCCGTTACCGACATCCTCTTATTCCCAGATTTTTATGTGAAAGTGTACTTCCAGCAATTGCATGACTAATTGTCATCCAAGAGTGTTCTACACGGTGGCCAACTCAGGTTTCAGGTGCCTTGTACTAAAGATATCAGAATATTTCCCTTGTTATAAAAATAAGTAGTGTGAATGAGTACGTAGTGCTAATGAAAGACGCGTCTAGGGACGGACACGAAGTACCAACATCCTCTCGACGGACCGAACTTCGTCTACGTCACATTTGTGCATCTGATTGTGCAGCTGATTCACTACACGTCCGCCTACCTGATTAAGAGCTAATTAGTATCATTAGTTAGCCTCTCGTGTGACTTCCGTGCAAATGGCTCTGACAGCCATTGAGCGACAATGTCCCAACCAAAATTTACCGGGAGATAGTGAAATCCAATAGACCTATAGGTCCATATTCACTGCTTATAATTTAGGTTATTTTGGACGGAAAACAGTTCCACCAGGAGGCGCTAATTGATGAGGAACCAGCATAAACCCTATAACCAAACTGTAGAGAGAGAGAGAGAGAGAGAGAGAGTAGATGTGCGCAAGCATACCCACACACTCGCTACTAATCGGTAAGCAATCTTGTATACTTTGCGCAGTTGATCGTGCCTGTTATGCGACCATGAACGTGAAATTAACAAGTCGGATGATCACTACTTTCCGATATCGTAGTCGGATTTAATGACATCTTACACAACGCACACGGACGCACATGTCGCTCGACTACTGTACTGTAAGCTTCGTGAAATTCAATCGGATGGGGGGGAGTAACCGTTTTGTGTGTTTGCGGTCGGTGAGTTCATCCTTGTGCCGTCAGTCAGGCGCATTTGAGCTTCAGGTCGCTTACGAGCATGACGTCCGTGTTGCCGGCTCTGTCCAAAGTTGTGATTGTTGATCAGGTCTCCAGTGATGCTGTGGTTCAGCTATCCAAAAACGGATTTATTGTCTTCGATCTGAAAGAAAGTGGAATCGCGGAAGATCGGCTCATCGATATTCTAACTGAGCATTCAGCTGGGGCACTGGTCGTGCGTTCGGCCACAAAAGTGACAGAGAATGTGTTGAAATTGGGGGCGGCTGCTGGTTTGCGTGTGGTAGCTCGTGCCGGTGTTGGTGTGGATAACATTGATGTCCGTGCCGCGGAAAAACATCACGTTTTGGTGATTAATGCACCCGAAGGGAATACCTTATCCGCCACAGAGCATACATGCTCGCTCATCTTGTGTCTAGCTCGTCAGTTACAGAACACTATACTACACAAAGCAGATGAATGGCCCACCACCAGAAAAAAAGTAATCACGTCATCATCAATCGTCCCCATAACCGAAATATCGGGAAAAACGCTTGGAATTGTTGGACTTGGTCGAATCGGCTCAGCAGTGGGTATTAGGATGCACGCCTTTGGAATGCGAATAATAGGGCACGATCCGATTCGGAAATACAGCAAAAGAAACACGAAGGCTCTTGGTCCTCTGCCCCCTGAATGGCTCGATGATTGGGTGCCTTTGGAGGAATTGTTGTCAGAAAGTGACTACATTACACTTCACGTGCCTTTAGTGCCTCAGACGACGGGTTTAATTGGACCAGAAATGTTATCCATGTGTCGCAAGGGATTCCGTTTGATCAACTGCTCCCGAGGGTCTGTTGTTGATGAGGCGGCTTTGCTTGCTGCTGTAGAATCTGGCCACTGTGCTGGAGCTGCTCTGGATGTCTTTACCAGGGAGCCTATCCAACCAACTGATCCAATAATGGAAAAATTGTTATCTCATCCGTGCATTATCGCCACACCTCATCTGGGTGCTTCTAGTCGTGAAGCCCAAGTTCGTGTGGCTACTGAAGTTTCTGAGGCCTTAACAGCGCTTGCTGGAAGGTCTTCTCTTGGAAACTCTGGTCTGGAAGGTGCTCTTAATCTCAACAAGTTAGGGAGAGATTTCTGTGCTTGTTTCGAGGAGTGGACCAAACGGACCGATGCACCAACTGTGAAGATGCTGCTAACTCTCCCGTACGCTGTCTATGTAATTTTGGAACAACTGATCCAAAAAGCCACTCCAGAAACATTGTGCACAAAGGACTCCTCCATAGCCTATCGCATTACTCTGGTGATTCCTGAGTCAATTAACCCTCGTTCATCCTCTGGCCAGCTATTGACATGTCTTTTTGCCCATACCTGTGAATTTGTTCTCGAGCGATATAGTCATGAAGCCCGTTTGTCACCCGAAAAGTTTGACTTATTGTCCGCTTTCCTTTGCGATTTGCCAAACGTCACCGTTAGCACGGATCAACTGACTGGTGCTGTTGAGGTTTCGTGGATAGGCCGAAAGAAGAGTGGGCGAACTGTATGTTCCTGTCTGTTCCTTCACCCTGAATCCCGTCTGGATATGACGGAACAAATATTCTTTGGCTTTTCATCGCCGCTCCCCCTCTGGATTTTGAATGTGTCATTTTCCTATATGTGTGATTGTGGAGATGTGGCCCAGGCACCAGCCGTGGTTGGTCAGCTGAAGGAATCCATATTACATCTGCTCGATGAACACGGTGAATCAACGAATGAGATTGCGATTGATGTTTACGGATCGTTTATCTCTGAAGTTTGATAAACTCCTGCGCTTTATTGTTTACATGTGACCAGCTTTCTGTTCTTTTTTTAATCCTCCACATCTCTTAATTGTCTACTGTTCAAGGTATTCTTCTGTGTTCAGCGGGTCGTGGTTTGCCACTTCTTTAGGATAGAGGTTCGTGCGATTTACTGACATGAATGTTAATGCCTTATGCCTGCGCATCCGAGCAACTCCTAATGGCCGTCAAGGTCTATTGTGTGATCCATTTGCAGCGCCTTGTTGGAACGTCGATGTACTGGCCTTCCATATTGTGTGAGCATTGCCGTTTGATATGACCTATTCATATGGTCGCACAGAGACAATCACTTGTCGCTTTTAGTCAATCCTCACTAGTTTGCGATGGATCACCGTTAACTTTTGATGCATAATGCGGTGGGCGACTCGAACTCGAAAGGTCCTGCAGCTCGTACTTGTATTCTCACATAGACTGGCCTAAATTGGGGGGAATACCACCTACGCGGAACGCTGTTCATAGTTAGTTTTGAAAATGGCATAAGCTGTTTAATTTGGAACTTTGTTCAGCGTTCTTTACGCGATCAGCTATCTATCAGGCCACTTCGATTTAGCCATGTTTCGGTGACTGGCAAGTGTTAGTTTGATGATTTGAGGTTACACTCAGGTTAGTCGCAATTTAGCTGATGTTACTTCGTGCACGTCCAATAAAACTCATGAGTTGGGTTTTCATCGAATCGTATCGTTTCTACTTAATTTTGATCCATCCCCGAAGTTAACTCTCAGAACGAGGATTTGAGTTTCAGGCGGAGTCCTACTCCAATTTCAGTTTGCATCTTTGTGAAATTCTCTGTGTTTTTGTGCAACCTATCGCACAGGTGTCGCGTTGGGTATAAGGTCGACATACACGGCGAAACAACGTTCGTGAACGTCTTCTTTATTATGTTTTCTTCTAGAGAGAAGTAGAATGATCCAAGCGCGATTGTGTCATTTCAGTATAGTTCGTTTTTTCGATAAACCTTATGAGAAAGCGTCCATCTGGTCGTTGGCTTGTTCGCTGAGCCGGGCAATTTGGTTGCAAACGTTTCATCGCCAATCGAGGTGACATCATCAGTGCGTAGTTGTGCGTAGCGGTGGGTTAGTGGTTGTGCGTTCAGTAGTGTTACGTGTGTGTTGATATACGCGCTGGTAGCCGGGGATGACCTTTGACCGCGATTAGTTATTCTGTAGGGCGGTTCCATTGGTTGTTCTTTTTATCCCGTATCCTCATTCGCCGATGCCCACGTGACTTTTGAACCTGGCATCCCTCGCCGTCGTGGTCTAGTCGATTTTGGGACTCGGGATAAAAAGAACAACCAATGGAACCGCCCTACAGAATAACTAATCGCGGTCAAAGGTCATCCCCGGCTACCAGCGCGTATATCAACACACACGTAACACTACTGAACGCACAACCACTAACCCACCGCTACGCACAACTACGCACTGATGATGTCACCTCGATTGGTGATGAAACGTTTGCAACCAAATTGCCCAGCTCAGGGAACAAGCCAACGACCATCTACGCTACCTGAGCTACCGACATTCTCCTCTATAGAAAAGCGTCCATCTATAGGGGACTATTGGTAGCTCAGGTTGTGTGGATAGCTGTTCTATTCGCTAGCAACAACTTACTCAATTCGGCGAACAATCAGTATTGTTTTTATAGTGAAGTGGACATCTTTCGTCAATGTCAAAAAGAAGGATTAAGTTGGTCCATTTATGGGTCGCGAATTTCTGACACAAATGCTACCATCCAAAACTGGCTGTCGGTGACCTGACTCATGCAAACGACAATTTTCTTTTGTTTCACTGTGGTCGGTGGTGTGTAGAGCAGGGAAAAGCAACCAAAATCCTCGATTGAAAGGTGACGCTTTTCGTATTTTTTCCAAAAATCTCAACGTAGCATGTCTTCTCACGAAATTCTCTGGTGTGTTTTTATCCGTCAACTCGGACTCGCCGTACTATTCCGTGATTAGCTTACGAGATTCAGGAACTTGTTCGATTGTACTTTGTTTGAGATCTGATCAGTTAAGGGAATATAGGCCACATACATCATGTAACCTGGCAATCTCACAAATATGTCACACTCCGTTTCAGCGCGTGCTTTCCTTTACTTTCATTCGCCCGTGGGCCCCCAGGCATAACTCAAGTATCTAGAAAACATGAGCATTTATTATCAGGCTAATCGTACGATTCGGTACAACGTCTTTACTCTGGAGGACATTCACGGAATGAATATTCATGATGGACTAATGTGTGTGTGTGTGCGCGCAATGCCCCAACTGTGTTGAGCAGTGAGACCAAATCCAGACATTCTGTGTGAACGCACGACTGTGCGGTCGATTTTGACCGCTAACGGTGCAGAGGAAATTTTCGTGTTGGATGTTGTTACCGTTGTTCGCTTATGTAAATCGCACATGCCGTGAACAGCGCATAGGTGGTGGTATTGACGCATGTCGAATACAATTCGTGTTGCGTTCTGTTCCCGTAATTGGATGGATCAGTCCTAGCGTCTATCGAAATTCATACTATGAGTCCTGGGTTTCATTTTTCACTGAACGACTGAATCCACCAGCGGTCTACAGTATGCACTTGTATTTTACGATAAAGATTCCTCCGGGGAACTCCTTTAGGCAGATGTGTTTGGGTCGGATCTATGCAGATCTGCAGTGACGATGGGTTGACTGTACGGGAATTGTACTTTTCGGTAACAGGGCGACTAGATTTGATCCAAAGTTACAGATCTCCTTGCCCATATGCGCTGCATAGTCAAAGTAAACTGCAAGCATACCTGCAATCCGAATCATTTCCTCGATTATTGAACATTGCAAACGTACCTGGCGAATAAACACTCGCAATGAACGAAAATAGATATCCACTGTTGCTCCTTGTTTTGGGTTATTTAAAGAAATAAAGTCACGCAACAGGAGGTTTTGGTCGGTTAATAGAGTGGCTGTTTGATTAAAGACTTGATAGTACTACAGACGAGTACTACCACGAGTTCTGGGCTCGTGCTGCGGAGACCGAAAACCAAGGGTTAAAGTTATCCAGACTTGTTTTTCTCATCCACCGACAGGGATTGTGATGGAGACGCTGTCTACAGAAGAACGTCCTTTTCCGGACTGTCGGCAGCTGATGGTCAGTTATCAGCCAGATAATCAGAAACAGGTGCACGTAATATCAATGGTACACCAAAGCTGTTAAGCTCAATTATGTGAGAGACCATATTACTTCATATATAGACTCTGTAGACCGAAAGATCAATAGTGACACTGGCCTTTTATAAGAAGAATGGGCGTGACGATATGTAAACACGTTAAAGATGCGTAGTTCATTGCGTGCCCGTGGATGTTGGCCGGTAGCTGTTTCGGAGAATATTCTGAACATTGACTTATTTTGTCAGAAAGATTTCACGAACATTTGACTCATAATATGCGAACTCAGTCGAAAATATGTGTACCAACAAACCATCCACTGTGTATGGCATTTTGCAACCCAGCCGAGCATAGTCGAACAGAAAGCGACATACATGTAGGGGATCAAGTTGAAGGAACAAAGCGATTGTGTCTGCCGCTTGTGTGAAAGGAACTTTTCCGGATTCAATTCCATGGAAACCCAGCCCAAGTCTGCGTGCATTACCTGTCGAATTTGTGAGTTTATAACGTGAGACTTGTGCAAAGCATTTGACAAATTGATGCTGTCCTATTCAAGTTGTTGTTTCGTTTTACCGTATAACTATTTGTCGAACAACTATTCAGCAACCTTGTGAGTAGTCTCCTTTATGAAAATACACTGCGATATTTCGAATATCGTTCCAACTGAATCATGAGGCGGTCTGTGTGCAGCACATTCAGTTGTAGAATATCATAAACGAGAGATTCAGTTGAGTCTCTCGTGAAAACCAAATTGATTTGCAAGTTAGTGTATTTCTCGAAAACTTTTCATCTAGTTCCATGTTGTCTGACAGCTAAAAGGATTTAACCAAAGCACAACACTTCCAGCCTCAGTAGTGAATAGACCTGGCGGAGTTGGAATATTTTTATATGAACCGGGTGATGATTTCATGACTGATAACTGTGGTAGCTTCAAGAGTAAAGACTCAGGTGGCCAATTGTGTTCAAATGTGGATTATGCTGCACTCTTTTTCATTCCATCGTTTTGTAAAACAACGTTGAATTCTCTCCAAACTGATGACATGTGGGAAACCTCTTTGTTCAGTGTCATGGAGGCCTAGGATCACAATGGATTTCCTATTAGATTTTCTGGTTGTTCTGGTTTTGGGTACCGGTATTTAGCACCAGCACACTGTTGCAGATGATTCTATCTCCACTCGTATACAAGACCTTGCTCGTTAAAACCAGTCGATAATATACAAATATATCACGGTAACCAACTTTAACGTGATTGGCAACACCCGGGTTTGAATAGCATTTGGAGGAAAGAACTCCAAATGAGTGTTTTTGCTGTCGTGTGGAGGTACATCCAACGTCTGTCAGCTATTCATGACAAGAGTACGAATACAAACTTGAATGTTCCCAGTCATTTAGACCAAGTTTCGAGCAGGTTGGAAGCAACTGATGCGTCGATTCGCGTGTTGAACTCCTTTTGTTCAGACGTGCTATTCATTTCCTGAAGTGTGTAGTTTTTATTGTTTTCGTCTTTTCCGGATGTTGGAAGCGACCACTTCGTATGGATTCTTGCAGAAACCGCCGTCTGTGGACTCCCCCTTGATGTAGCCTATCTTATGAGAATTACTATATTGCCGTGTATAATAACCCGGGCGAATAGGGGATGAGAATTTTGGCTGAGAACATGAAGTACGCGTATGATTCTTACCGTACTACTGATATGGTGATCCACCCGAAGGTGATCCACCGCGGAGAAAAGAGGTTTTCCACCTATCCCGTTTGGCGGAATGGTGCACTGTATCTGGTTTTTCGAGAATCACCATTATGGACTATTTTCATTTACTCCCTTTTGAGAGAGTTCTCTTGGATGTGGTATTGAGTATGCACCATATGTTTTTTTTACCACTTTCTTTCTGGTTACTGTGTGTATGATCTTCAGTTTTCTATGAAGTGGTTGCTGCTGCTTCCTAGTATGTGTCAATGTATTCTGGAGCCATGTTTAGTTTATGAGAGCCATAATAAAACCACATAAAACGGTTCTGTTGATATCGCTGACTCTCAGATTTGTAAGCAGCGTTTCATGCTTCTGTATTTACAACCTCTGTCTTTCGATCTGTATACCGGTTTCAATACGTTAGTTCGTTGTGAAAATTGGCCTGACCTACTTTCGCACATACACGGATGTAGGATGTGTTTCGCCATTCGGTTTCTGTATGCAGACGGCTATTTTAATTTTGTACCGGATAAACATCCCAAACTGGGCCTTGCTCAAAGGTCCTCGCGGACGAATTTTTGTTTTTCAACCACCCATTCAGGAGGGTTTCTGTATGCAGACGGCTATTTTAATTTTGTACCGGATAAACATCCCAAACTGGGCCTTGCTCAAAGGTCCTCGCGGACGAATTTTTGTTTTTCAACCACCCATTCAGGAGAAGAAGTTGCGGTTGCAAGACAACTTTGAAACATTCATGAAACGCGGTTCAACATTCATTCAGAATTTCGACAATAAGCGTCGGGAACTTGTGGACCAATTGGAGGATATCTCGCATGAGTTCGTCCTTTCGTTCATGAGGTTTTTCGGCGCCGATGGTCGACTGCGAAGTTGGCTCAATGGCCGTAAGCATGCTATCACGGATCGTGAGGATGGGACTGTGTCACCCTGTTCTTCGGAAACGGTAGACGACTACGATTCTGTTGATCTAGTTACTCGACACGGCAGTGCGGAATTAGACCCAACCATATCACCGTCTGACTTCGATAACCTCATTTCGGAATACCTTGGAAGGTGAGCCACTGGTATGTATTATAGCTCCAACCCAGCTTGTTGTGTTCCTCTAAGTTACGCAGTAACCAGTCTGTTGGATTAACGTTTACTGTTTATTATGCTTGGTATGTAGCTAATACTCGGTACCTCTTGTAGGAAACAACCCGCTGAATCTTGTCATGTTCCCATCGAAGATTGTTGGTCAATGAATAACCACATTTTGTTTGTATACAGCGGAGGGATTTTGAGGTTCCATTCTGGATTTCACCGTAAGAGTGGAATTGTGCAACATTGTGAGGCCGTTTTGTCCTTCCTGGGGATCTCCAAGGCGATTCAATCCCCCTTTTTTTCACTTAGTAGTCCAGTGCCATTGTTCAATCATGCGAGACTGTTCAGAGGTCTGGTTAACATGCACCCAACTTGTACTTCACATTCAGGATGGAATCCTGATTAAAACCTCCAACTTTTTCCACTATGTGCGAACTACGAACAATCCGCTCAGAGAGGGAAAATCGTGTAAGCCTAATGGGCTTTCCATGTGAAAAGCTTTCACACTCAACATCGGATCACATGATACAAATGATATAAGTGAAGAATGGCGCCAAGTTATCCTAAGAGACTCATCCATTCGTGACCAAATACTGTAATCCGCAAGCACTAACTGAGAAATCGTTGGTTCGAATCTCTGTAAGGTTTCGCAAGACATGCACCGCCGAATATTATCAACAAGGAGGAAATGGCTGTTTTTTCTCGACTTTTGTGGATGGGCCGATTTTAACTGCAGGGTGTAATCTCGTATTCGTGACTGGTCAATTCGCCCGATCAATTCAAAAGTTGGTGAGAATACGCAATATGCATTCCAAACCAAATTAACCAGTTAGCAAAGCCGATAGGTGGATGCCTAGTCCTTAAAGGCACAGCCTTCATCTCGCGATATGCCTATATCTGCTTAAGTGGCATCCTATTGAGACTTGTCAGTTATCAGGATTTCTGCTAAAACTACTGATTTGGTGAATAGACACTGATTATTTGCGAGTGGGGACTCAACTATGGATAACAGACGAAAAGACGAGAACAGTATGAGGACTCTGACTTGCAACTATTCGCGGACACCACCTCGCGTCACACAGATGTGCTTGTACTTCACGTTGAATTGTCACATATCTGGCTGTCCTACCTCAGCGAATGAACCCAGCGAATTTTCAGCGTGTGAGTGAGTCACGCATTCATCAATATTACTGTTATTGTTCTTAATTTTCTTCCAGCCCAACAAGGCCAACCGAACAGCGCGATTCATTACCTCGTAAGCGAAGTTTAAGCAATGATGCGACCTCTTTACGCCATTCAGTGGGGTCGAATGAGCCATCTCCTAAAGCCAAGCTTCGGCGAACGACGGTCGTCTATGAAATGCTTGAGAACTCCAACGGAACAAGCAAGCCCGAACACCATCACGGAAGAATAAATCAAAAACGGAGGTGATCCAATGAGGTTGAATGGACCGCAGCTTTATTTTTCCAGATCTCCGTAGCCAACTTTGGTTCCAGTTGATTTTCAATCGTACAAACCTTCCCCTTTCTTTCTCCGATACGATGCAGCGCTGATTTTTTGACTGCGAGTGCTCAGCCCCCTCTCCCGAATCCAGGCGAATTGAATGATTGCCTAACTACAAATTCCGGTCCATGGGTATTTTTGCTTTCCGTATGATATTCGGTGAATAATAGACTATTTTGCCCTGCCCTGTGTTGTCTTGTTATACCGTTGCAAAGGAGTTTGGCACATTTTGTCGGCACATTTTGTGCTCTGCTTCTAAAAAAACCTTTTCGAGTCAAGTGATTAAGTCAAGCCAACTATGGGTTGGTTGAGTTTTAAGGCAAATAGAGAATCAATCAACCAAATTCTTGCTATCACTGGGCAAAATCAGTGGGTTAGTTTGGATAAGCGACTGTTACGCCCGATAGTTTATGGGACTTGCCTAGAGTTTGGTTATCCCAGTTTACTTCACCAAATCCTTTTGAGTGTGCTTTGCAACTTCAATCTGTTCGGGTGTGTTGGTGCTAGGCCAACTGAGTTAAGAGGAAGCACATGAACTTTGGTCCTTCCACCTCACATCTAAATGGGTTATGCTGATGACAGCTCTGGCCTAACAACCGAAGCTCTTGAGTGATTCAAACATTCGTCTGATTAATGGTCGATCCACGTGGCTGACCTAATCATTACAGAACAATGGGTTTGGAACCGCACAGGGTGTGCAATGTGAATGCACGGTCGGATGAAGAAAGCAGTCACCCGAGCGATTTAGTCACTATTGAGACTAATCAGATAGTTGGAGAGAGATTCAACGATTCCAGACCGTGGGTCGGTTTTCGCAGCTGATGGTTCTGAGTTGTGATTTTTGGCTCAACTAACAGCTGTCTGTCGTTTCAGAAGGAACTAGTCAATAGTCGATGAATTTGCGGTTGGGCAGAGTTTCGCTTCCGACACAAAAGCTTCATCAGATCAAGTAAGCAGGTTGGCTGAGTTCCAAGGTGAACGGGAAATCAATCAGCGAGAGCCCTTCCGGCTAGCACACCAAATGTGTTTACTGTTGGCTAAGCGACCGAGAGTGATCGGATGAGTATGCACATCAACTTGGTGTGGCTGGCGCTCTTGGTCTTCCGCTTCAGGACACTTCAATTGGTGATAATTCTCGGGTGCCTTTTGCAACTTGTTGGTCTTTATGGCACAGTATGTGCCACGACACTTTGGTTAGGGAACTGAGATCACGTCGTCGGTTTGGCTTACGTGATTTAGATTAAGGCCGCTTCTGTTGACGGCTTCTCTTCACTGATAACCGCATAAGGTCACGTGCCTCAATCACTGCTTTAAAACTACCCACCGTACACTCATCAATTCTACGCCTTTGGTGATTGTTACTGTCCCATTTTCTAAGTCCGTTTCGTTTCCCATGTCTAGTTCTCGTCCCGTATTTGTCGGTTCTGAGAATGCCGCTGGATAATCATGTGTTTTGTCTATTTTGCTCTTGTGCTGGCCGACGCTGTTGTGAAGTTCTCTAGCCTTCTGTCTTGTGACGTTAATGCAATTGTTGAACTTGATTTTCGTAAACGCGTCTCCCAAGAGACGATCAATCACCCAAGACGCTGTAGATAGTCGTGTTTCCTTTTCGGATCAATACTCTTGTTAGCCGTGCTTTGGACTCTTCACTCGCTCATGGTTTGCATAGAATAACCTACTATCCATCTCATCTCCATACAAGTACCAATGCCGGTACTAATAATCAAACTAGGTAGATATCCACTTTGCTTTTGGCAGCCGTCCCATCAACTTCTATACGCAGAGCTCTTGCCTGGTGGAACATTGACTAGACAATACTAGCCAATACAGGCTTACGACGAGCCGACGAATAGTTCGAAAGAGTATCAGAGTCAGCTGGCTCCCGTACTACTATGATCTCTGGTTTCCTACCAGTCATGTATTATGCGGTTTAAGAGACAGTTTTTTTCGAAGCTGAATCTATTGCCACACCAAATTTCTCGTAGGGATCCAAGTCATCAGGATAGTTGTTAAATTCATTGACTTCGTCCCGTCTACTCGCCACATAAATACCCTTTACACAGCGGTAAAATATTTCCGGTGGGTATGGGAATCTGGCCAATCCTTTCTGTCCCTTTTTGGCAGTTCCTGAGGCTGTTTTTGGATTGCGTTTTAGGATACAATCGATATCACTTGCCATGCCCTATGTGGTTTATCACATACTGGAAATACCTACCAGGTTCAGCTTTATCACCATTCATCACAGACGTGATGTTCCCACTGTCAATATTGGGGGCGAGATGGCCCAAGTGATTAGTGCACGAATTTACCGACCGGGAGGTCCGTGGTTCGAACCCGACGTCTGCCACTCGACTTCTCCTGTCTAGGCGTGGGAAACCTGGCAGTATCCCAGCCCTCGTGCTTCCTTCGGGTGGCATGGCAGCCAGGCACCGAAAGGGTGTTACAGCTGGACTTTCCTTTCCAATACGTTGGTAACACGTAGCGGCTAGGTGTTGTTTGACCCTAGCTGTATGATCGCTTTCAGTCGTGACAACTTTGCTCTTGAGGCGAAAAGTCCGGTTTGACATACGCTGTTCGAAAAGACGTGCCTGTAAATGGACTCGAGTCACGGACTTCTTGCTTACCCGACGGATGCTCTACTGACCGAGCTAACGAGGATGCCCGTCGTCGCTCACCTTTATGCAGATGAACTTTCCAGCTGATTCGCCTCATTGACATTTTTGTCCATTTCAGCCTATTTTCAGCTCCAAACCCGAATATCTGCATGCAGGTACTCTGGCATTTGTAAAACTATATCGCTCTTGAACAATGAACCCCGCTTGACGCACTTGAACTTGGATCACTTTTGTGTCTGGGATACCACATTCATTTTTCGTTCCGTGTCTGACAGATACTCTGCTTGCAAATGCCCGTAATAATAACATTTAATCCCGTGCCTAGTCGATTTCATATTATCCTCCTGTGGCTCTAGTTCCGAACGCTGTTTGCCATTTGCAATTTTGTGTGATCCTTATGTCCAAACGGGTGGTTCACTGCCTCGAGGTTGCCATGCACTTGCTCCGTCTACACTTAATCTGTATGACTGGATGTTTATAGAAATTGTTATGACCAGCCATGTCAAACGGTATCGCTTGACAAATTTTCATGCGACACATTCCGAGCGTTATTGGATCATGCGTACACATGGAGCCGCTTATTAAGGGACACTGTGGGAACCAACAATGCTGTAAGTCCTTTTGTTTTTTTTCGGTGACAAAAGTAGGCAGTGCTATTGAAGCACAATTATTTGTTCTTCGAAGAGTTCTAGACTGTTCTTACTTCGGCGTGCAGTGCATACAAGTATATAGCTTACACGTACGTAATCTACAGTTCGGTTTCGTCACAACGGTATTGTTCTTTCTATTTCAAAGACGACCGAAAACCACCAAAGATGAAGGCTAGAAGAGTTAAACAAACAAGACTTTTGGACAGCATAGATTAAGTATTCTTAAGAAATCGCTTCCAGATGCATGTTCCGTTATTTTGCCACTTTTAGCACGTGCTTTACCTTGCCTGCTTTCGGTCACCTCGTTTGCTACTATCTCCTGCAGCACTCATAGCTCCAGTTTTTCTACCCCAGGTGCTGAGAGGGACTCTTAACGACACCATGCTACTGAATGGCGTGAGGTTACACGAGATATGAATATTCGATTGGATGCAGATGATCTCCGGGATGTATCTGAGACACTGTCTACACAACCGACTTATCTGGTGGCAGCCAGTCACAATGCTGAGAAACACTAAAACCGGTATATCGCACCATATTTCTTACGGTACATCCGACTTCACGAATATCTCTGGTCAGGGTTTCCAGTTATGAGCATATGGGCAGTGTAACGAGAAAACTCGATACCAACTTCGGTATGTTTGCATCACCAATGCGATCTCATGGATGTAGACCTTTCTGCCTTTGACCGCTGACATTGTGGGTTTGACGCCGTTGTGTGCGATTTTTCGGAAACGGATGGGACCTCCGAAGTCCTCGGGTTGATGTAAATATTCCGAACCAATTAGCTTTGAGGGGAACAGCCTCCTGTAGTCGTCATGCTGCCTGTAAGTTGAGTGGGTCGATTATGATTTTGTGAGCACCCAGGCGAATGAATGTAACTGAATAATTAATTTGCTTGAGAAGTGGTTATAAACTCGTCAATTTGATCGAAGAAAAAATATCCCTCCGAGTATGTAAGGCAGGGCCGGGTTTTACCGACCCATTATATCCGTTCTGTTGACCAGACTTCCGTTCTTTTGTCAACGGTAGATTTTAGACCTTCAGTGCGCTCCAAGGCGTCGTGTGGTTCAGCAACCTGGTTACTGTGAATAGTGGGTGTCCCCCAAACTTTGAATTCGATGTCAGGTGAATTGTGCGCATCGGAAGTATCGGGTCCTTTGAGAATTTTTCGGAAGAAAGAGCCCACAAACAAAAAACATGCTGATGACACCCTATAAATGGAGCGGGCTTCGGCATGTGTTCTGAATGCCAGAGGGTGATTCAGCTCATCATCATCATCGCCAGCATGACATCAGTATTCAACACCGATGCTTCACTGCCGTACAACCATGACTTATTTGAAGGCCTTATTGTAAAGAAAATAGTAAAGGTAGACGGGGGAGGGACTTAATGCTAGCTTACCACAATCATTCCGAGGTGCCTATACCATGATTCAGCCCACCAAACAGTCACAACAGAAACGTTATCGGAGAGGTTAGATTAGAGCCGAAGAACAAAGGAGGAACTCAACCAACAAATCCATTGTTAGCTACCGTCTCCTTGACAGAGCTCCCCAGTCTGCCATTCATCAGTATTTCGAGAGGTCGACTGATGTGATGAAGTCGGGAGTAAATAAGATGTATGTAGCTGAGATATCTCTAATTAACGTTAGCAGTGATGGATAATTTACCAGCTCACCGTTTGTATCCATTTATTGGACAGCAAGGCAGCTCAACAGTTTATAAAATTACTGTAACGGCTTTCTTAGCAGCCATTCATTTGTGGCCCGAAAACACATGAAAGCGGTGGTGGTTTGGTATCGAATGACGAGGTAGAACGGGATTTTTAATCAGAATTTTTCTCCCAGTGCGTTGTTATGGCGAAAAACGCGAGTGCATCGTATTTAATCAGCCTTAATCGGCTAGTCGTTAGAATCACCAGCGTAATCGACATGTGATTCAACTATCACCAAACTTCAAATCACAAGCTGTAAAGAAATGGGAAAGATTTTCCCACTATCAAACGTATGTGTTGGGTTCGAAAAACTCAGTGTCTCCTGATGTACGTCTCTCAGACGACCACGTGGAGGATGGTAAGAGCCAAGTGATAGCGAAATATGAAAACCATCGCCTGCTAGCTCAGCTGTGCTGTATCCCTGAGTAGGAGATCTATAGGCGGTTAGGGACCCTGATAGACGTTACCAAGTCACGTTCTCCATGGCGCGCGTATCCAAGTTGTTGGCTTCAGTAAATAGCCTCCCATCTCGGTCTCCTCAATGAAAGATCCACTGATACCCCTGAGTTCACACACTATTTATATAAGCTACCGCCACTAATGCGTAGCTATCCACTCCCTATCTCACAAAATAACCGACGAACGAAACTGCAGCAGCTATAAATAATGTAACATTTGTGCGCGATTTCTTCAGCTGAAGATGATGATGGTGATGAAAATGATTGATTGATAGTTATTCCTACATTGATGTGTAGAACTAGGTGAACGTGAATCCAACTTTATAAAGCACTGCTCCAAATCGCTCCATCGAAACCACTGATTTAGTACATCTGGCCATCATAGAAAAACTATGGGGAACGACCTTACCGTTTTCAAGATTTACTTAAGCCAACTGTATCTCAGCACGCGAAGGCCAGCTTAACATTGAACCCGGGGGCAAGAACTTCATGACCCACGCGTGCCCTTCAATCCACCTCGTGCATTGTGACAAACAAAATAATCTTTGTGCGAGCTAAATTGTACCGAGGGTGATTAATGTTCACGCCGTTATACGTCTTCACTGTCTATCATCGAAATGCCACGATGCACCAACTCTACATACAGGTTCAGGAACAAACGATGGGTGAAAATGTATGAAAGAACTTACGCCATTCGGACAACTCTTGGGTGACACCCTTGCATACCCGGACCATGCTGACTTCTCGTTGTTCGGGCCAGTGGGCTGCTCCTGTATCTCTTGAAGATTCAAACGATAATCCCACAATGAATTCGCTAACTGTCTTTAGTTACTGCGTAACTAGTTCACTGTATCAACCGAATACCCGCTAGTGTGCACTAAAGAACTGCACAGCCTGGTGATTCCAGCAATGTGTGCATGTCCGAACTGCTCAGGTATCATAACTCAAGTGTGTCCAGCGTGCGCTTCTGGGACAGTGGCGACATGCTGATCTGGAATATCAAAAGCCCGGAATCCAAGCCCGGACAGGTCCAACGGTATGCACTGCTGATTAGACTTACTAAGACAGAATTTGAGTTCAGTGCTCCCCTTGTTTGGTGTGAACTCACCAGAGTAATTGCGCCCGGACAATAGAGGCATTCAAACAAAAGGGGTGTAAATGGGAAGCGCACAATTACCGTATTTACGGTTCATAGGTCTTGATATGATGTACGGTGAGCATGAGATCATCAAAATAGCAGTTGAAAGTTCAACAGAAATAATTGAGTTATTCTCTTATATATGGTTACACAGAGCCGCATTTAACCTTTGACCTAGTGTGTTCACTAGGTTCACAATAGTTCGGTTAACTTCTACGACATACAATCATTTAAAGCAGCGTGGTTCCCCGATAAATTCGAACAAGACAGAAAAGAAAACAAGGTTGCAGCATGAATTCACTTTCTCTACTCTCTTTCTTTGCAAAACACGCCACGCAACATAAAACACAATATACTGCAGCCTACAACATTCGTGTCTAAGACGTGACCGATTCATAAAACCAAGGCTGTCTCAAAGTGACCTTTAGGTCTTTTTGAGCTCACAGGAGAGACCTAAAAGGATTAAGCAACGATGAGTTGAGTCGACTGAATGCCTGGCGTTACGTGATTCAACCCTGGAATCGATTAGCATTAATTTAGGGTCAGGTGACATGGTACATGGATTTTTAGGAACATGCTTCTTTGCATGCATTTTAGGCCCCATGCTAGATCTGCTGATATAAGTATGACCATGATTTTAGGTTAATTGTTAAGTGCAATGAGTCGTAGACAAAGCAGATTTCGACACTTTGATTGGCAGCAGTGGCATGGCCAGTGCCTTTCCTTTTACGTACTCCTGCGCTGCATTGTAACTACGGTGCAGGGATACTTTTAACATCCGTCTAAATAGGCTCAAAGCATGATCACTAGTGCAAGAAACATAGCTATAAGTGGTCTTTATCGGTATTGTGAGTGGAACCTTCATTTTGTCACTCAGAGTGAGGTGCTTTTCGATGAACTGGTCACGGTATTCATCCGACTCCAGTACATCCTGCGGCAACTCAGTTCATTCCCAGATTGTATCCGACGTGCAAACCTGTCTAGCTGTGGAATAGAACAAGCACAGACGCGAGTTTGCACCGTAACCGACAGAAACTCGTAAAGTTCTGATATTGTTCAGTCCACATGGGTTTCCAATGTACAGACGGAGACATAGTACCGTCTGTATTTCTGGCAGTCAAAATATCCATGAATGGAAGTTTTTTGTCATATGCACTGATGGACTATGACTATGACTTTATAAGAAAATTATTATTTGTCAAAACCTTGCACGGAACGGTTCTAAGGGTCAATTTGTAGGCCTGTTTCTATGGCGGTCCTCGTGCTTCATAATGCGGGCTGTAGTAAGCCTGGAATGTGATTGCATGTGAGCAACTGATGAGATGCGTGTGCGCCAGGCAGGATGTGCCAGCTGTGACATTTTGACTCCTGACCTTGACAACATCTGGACCACACAATCCGGAATCCGTTCACTTGTAATTCATGCTCCACGCTTGTTTGTTCTGCCGTTGATGATATCTCCATGGCACGCCTTTCGGGAGCAACCCTAGCCAACGTTTTATGGTCAGACCTGAGTAGCAATCAAAAGCTGGCCTACAATACACCATCACCGTCTTCATATGTAGAAAACCGCGTTTGTGTTGTACAGTGGTTACAAATTCCACAGTTTCTTTCGCAGAGGACAGTGCAATGTCACCTCCAGACCGCCTAGCAGTAGATTGATCTTGGTACGGAGTATCGTTCTCTCTTTGTCTGACTGCTGTCCACTGGGATTCTTGGGGTAGATGCAGAATGTGGGACGAAGTCCTCTCGTCCTGAGACCTTATCCTGGTGAGTCCACACTGGAAGGATAGTTTGTAAAGCCATGGAAGGTCACACCTAAAATATGGTGAACTCAGGCGAGTTGATAAACATTTGTGTGGTGGGAAAATGTGATTCTAGGCAGACACCTGAGCAAAGGGTGTGTATAGATGCTTGGCTCCCTTCTCCACTCAGGGTACCTCCATACTCCCACCCAAAGGATTTGTTCATAGACAATTCACAAAGAGCAGATGAAAAACCACGAACAGATGGCGCTACTCAACTAACGGACGCATTGGCAATGTTGTGGAATGTAGGTAGCTCGGTTGCGCTGCTTGGTTGTTGGTCTGTTCGCCGAGATTGGCAGTTGGATTACAAACGTTTCATCACCACTCGAGGTAGTTCTACTAGATACTACCAGATACGGTTTAGATGCTGTATAATCACAGGCAGAAGAGGAGGAATTTACCCACTCAACTCTGCACTGACGATGTCACCTAGATTGGTAGCGGACGCATCTTCACGGAAAATCCCAAGTGTATCAGATGCGAGGCGTCAGGGAGTAAATTGAATTTTGATCGAATTCCTAATACGGCTTTTCTCTCCCACTACACCTTAGCGCTTGTTTATTCATGCCAGCCGAAATGGCTGGTCTCGGAAAGCCCCAGACAACTATGGATGTGCGATACTTTGCATGGATGGTGCCATGTTACACTGGGACACAAAGGGCTTGTTTACAGTGACGCCAGTGCCCAGTGTGACATCATCATGCTTGGACTGGCTCAAGACTATCATTAGACTCGCGCGATTTTGCTTGAAGACAATATTTTCTCCAGTTTCGCATCACACTCAAATAAACGCAAGCGGTAGCTTAGTTGGCTCCGCGCAAACCGTTTGCGATTCAAAGTATTTCACTGTCGTGGCCCAGTGGTTAAATCAGATCAGTTCAGTAACCAGAATTAAGTCAGCCATATGGACTGCTTAGCGTGGCAGTCGCAGTTAGTGGAACACAACGTTGCCACTGAAATATTCCCTTTCCGAAAGACGAAACAGGTGTTCCCCTATGGCTATGGGTAACATGCTCCTCCTAGAGGAATTTAAATGGA